GTCCCCTCCTCCCCTGTCCCCCACCCATAGGTTAGGAGGTTGAGCCAGGCTCTATTTAGTTTTCTGCCTCTTCTCCCATGTAGGATAGTATGAGAAACTTGAAAAAGAGAAAGCCAAGAACCTTAAGAACCTTAAATGAAACATGCCCCTGGCTGTTAATAATGAAATGGGATTTGAAGACATGTGTTGCCTAGGTTGGACTGAGTAGGTATAGAAGGGCTGACATTGAGGGGTCCAAGGTTCTAGCTGGTGCCTGTTTGGGGCGGGGGGTGTTGATAGACTGCTGCAAAATCAGATTTTGTTTAGATAGAGTTGGATTTGCTGTTGTAAGTATTATAAGACTTTCCCAGGCTGTCATCCCTGAACTGACTCCATTTAAGATTCCGGAAAGAGTGCAAACAAACCCCCAGATTTGAAGATGCTTGAGATTTTAAATATTCCAAATCATCACAGCCATACGTCATTGTGAATCTAGGCAAACAGTGAATTGTCTTTAGGAGCAGCTTTGACTTTGGACTGTGCTTTGACTTGGCCATCTTATAAGCAAGAGACTCTTAGAAGGCCTCAGAACAAGGAGAGGGGAACAGCTCTGCCCTGGGGTTGTTCTTAGCTGGGTGGGCCTTCCTCTTTGCTGTCACTTTCTTTGTCATATGTATGGGAGGTGGCAGATGCTCTGGGATGCTTGGATGGAGAAGAAAATCTTCTGCCCCCCCCCCCCCACTGTTGGAAGACCCAGTGGCTGTGCCTCCACCCTGCCTTTCTCTCCAGTACCTCCCAGACTCTATCCTTGATGCCTGAAGCTGTACTCAGTACCTAGGTAACCAAGCAAATCCCAAGTTTCTTTTGGTTCTTCTCTGTTGCCCTTTCTCTCAAAACGGAATTCAGGATAGCAGTATTTTTCTTCATATTAACAGTTGAGACTTTTTAAAAAATAAAATGGAAAAGCTGTTGGAGACTCCTCATCTCCTTGGGCAAGGCCCTGGCTGATTTTACTCTACCGTAACCCTCCCTTAAAGGAGCTCAGATGGTTAAGGTGAATCAGCTTCAGGAACAAGGCCCTGAGGGACCCTGAGAGCAGGGGTGCTCCATGTGTTCAGAGCCTTCTGCCAAGGTCCACTTCCTTGGGATTATGACTTGGTAAGACTGAGAGCATCTGCTACAACTCTAGCATTTTTTTTTTTTTTTCTTAAAAGCTCAAGACTAAGGTAAATGAAGAAGCACTTGGGACTAGAGTTGACCCTTGTACTAGGCTGGGAGGTGGTAAGCCTCTTAGACTTATAAATGGCCAAAATACCAGGATGTAGGTTCAGTATTTAACTGCAGACTGGGGGTGAGATGGGTGTTAACTTTTATTCTGATCACCTTCTAGTCTTTAAACTCTTGGTCTGAGGCCCGGTCCACACCTTGCCTTTGTGCCTGTCCTGCCAAGGTTTCAGTGTGGTAAGCTGGTAGAATGGAACCAGTCATGAATCGTTGTGTCCTGTCTGGGCTGGGTCCATATAGGAGCAGCTTAGCTTTGAGGCCCAGACCTTTATTCCTTTTTCTCCTTGAAGGAGGAAATTCACCTGGGGAAAACAGCATCTTCTGCAGCATGGGAAGAAGAAAATAAAAATCTCCTTTCCAACAGCTCTGATGTGTGTATGTGGTATGAAGTATTTCCTTACATGGTTGTTTTCATGCTAGCTCTGTTTTCAGCTTAAAGCATTTAACTTGGATCTCTGTAGTAGGATGGGGAAAAAGAAGCCACCAGACATTGTCCTGTGACCTCTGTAGTGTCAATCAGGGTCAGTGTTTCTTAACCTTCTGCATGGCCTTGTGTCAGGAGCCTTCCTAGAGCAAAGGGAAGACAGTTAAGCTTTTGGTGCCTTTGCATGAAGGGACTAAACAACTTCTGTGTGTCTGCACATGCACTCGAGATTTCTTTGGGGATAAGAAACAACCCCATTATGTAGGCCTTGTGCATTATGGTTGTTGTATTTTTTTGTTTTGTTTTGTTTATTGAGACAGGGTTTTATTTTGTAGCTCTGGCTGTCCTGAAACTCACTCTGTAGACCAGGCTGGCCTTGAACTCAGAGATCTGCCTGCCTCTGCCTCCTGAGTGCTGAGATTAAAAGATGGGCACCACCACCGCCTGGCTTTTTAATGTTTTTTTTTTTTTTTTTAATTTTTCTAAATTTTTAAATATTTTAAAATATTTTTATTTTAAAATATTTTCTAATATTTTTAAATATTTTATTCTATGTCTATGAATGCTTTGCCTGCATGTATGCATGTGTCCCACATGTGCGTGCCTGGTGCCCACAGAGGTCAAAAAAGGGCATCAGATATCCTGAAACTGGAGTTAGGGATGGTTGTGAGTCACCCAGAGCCATCAAATGATGCTAGGTCTGGACCTGGGTCCTCTGGAAGAGCAGCAAGTGCTCTTAGCCCCTGAGCCATCTCTCCAGCTACAAATTCTGGTTGTTTATACTTGGCTTAGTCTCAGTCAATAAAAGTAAAACATCCTTGGAAGAAGCAGGATGAATCATGGACATAGGGACTTGGAAATTAGGTCAGGGTCAGAAGTTCTGAGTTTCAATAACAATAGCAATCATTACTGCCCCCCTCCACCCCCCACCCCCCAGTCTCAAGTAGCTCAGGTTGACCTCAGCCATGTAGTGAAGGATGACCTTGAACTATGGTACTTTAGAGACCTGAGTGCCAGGATTGTGTGTGCTGGAGTACATGGCTTGCCAGTCATTAGTGAGCTGTTAAGTGGCAGGCATTTACATATTTCTTGGGACAAGGAGGAACAGCTTCCTTTTGCAGATAAGGAAACAGGCTCAGAGTGGATGTCACTTAGCCAAATGCCCCAGCCAATAAACCACTGAGCCAGCCCTCTTAGAAGTGGTATTTGTGTGAGTCACTTCAACAGAAGTGGAAACTCAAGATTTCTGCCTTTAAGGGGCTGGAGTGTAGAAGAGGGACTCTCAGCACTCCCAAAACAGCACCCTTTATGGACGGTTGGCTCTGATCAGGACTTGGAGCTACATACATCACTTACCACATACCAAGCGACTGCTCGCACATCTGGATGACTTCTTGGGAAGCTATGCCTGAAGTTAGACTTAGGAGTTAATCAAAACTACCCTGGGGCTTTTAAGGCTACTGACCCTATGTCAGCAAGCAGCCCTATGATGGCAGGACGGGCATGTTTAGTGCCGAGGTTAGGCAAATATTCCCAGTACAGAGTTCAGAGGAGAGATGCGAGCTACAGGAACTAGAATATCTCCCAATGCGGCTCCAACATGAGCGCCCTGCTCTGTCCCTCCCTCAAAGGGCGGTCCCTGGACAGATCAGGAGTCTGAAAGGTCGGACCAGGTAACTTCGGAGGGCCTCTACAGGTGGCCGAAAACCTGCCCGCCCATTCCGTCCCGGGAACACCAAATATGGGGAAGGAGGGCTTCTAGCGCAAGGGTCACGCTTGGAGAATTTTTTGCTGCGTGCTAGACCAAAGCTGCCCAGGAACGATGCATGAGAGAGCCACTGGAGCAGGGTCACCCCTAACAAGAGCCGGAAAGTATGACAGTTTGGCGGCGGGAATCTCTGGTGGCTCCGCCCTTCCCGCACAGACCTAGTGCCCGTACAGCGGCATGTTGGGAGCCAATAGGAACTTGAGATTTACATGACTCGCCACGCTGGGGCCAATCAGCTCGACGCGCGCTCGATCGGCGTCTCGCGTGATAACCAGGCCGCCTCGGCTTTGACCGTAATAGCTTTGGCTAAGTACTTCTCCCCGCCTGGTGAGCCAACA